TGCTTTTGCTAAAAAATGTTCAGAATGTCATGTTAAATCCCTGTTGATAAGTACGTTGTTGCATGAAGAATATAAATACTAACAAATCCCAAGTGGGTAACACATTAAAGGAATAACACATTAAACTAAGAACATTACACGTAAGCCCATTCATAACTGAGAAGGGCCTCTATATAACGTTCAACAACAGCATGTGCTTGATGAGGCACAGGATCTATTTTTATGTATACATAAAATAGTGGATTATAAAATATTAAGTGTTCCTCAATCCAATTTTTTTTTTCTTCAAATAACTCTTGAGTGAATCAATTGTATTAGAAAGCTGCAAAAAACTTCAGGTCTTTTTGTTTCTAGAAATATAATTATTCAAATGAAAAATATTTGTAGCCTAAAGGTATCTGCTATTCTATAAGTGCCATAATTGTACATGCTAAAATTAAGTTCACAGAAAGCCTTAAAAGTTAATTCTTCAGTTAATAAACAGCACAGAAAGTACTAATAGCAAAAAGTTCCAAAATGCTTTTTGTAATTTTAATACCAATTATTGGGGAATCAGAAAATTACTTGACTTTAGGACTTCTAGAGACCTTAATCTGTTAATTCTGTTCCTTTATTCGCTATAATAATGGTAACAAACTAGCTGTAATAAAGTAACAAAAGATGTGGCCTCTTCAGGGTAAGTTCTTTTCACAGGATACTAAAATTTCCTTTCTAAAAAACTGAGGACTTTTTCAAATTATAAAAGTAATATATGCTTGTTATATATCTTATATAATGCAGTTATGTGTGTATGTTTCAAGCAGAGAAGGTTTTAAAATGGAAACAAAACTCTTCTAATCTATATCCCACAGATAAACATTGGTATCTCTCTCAGGATAATTTTAACAGGGTTGTGTAAATACTCTTCCAGATTTTTACTATTATATACGTACATACATACATACATACATACATACAATTTTAGGTTAAAAATAGATTCATATCTATTTTATGTAACTTCCTTTTCGCCTACCTAGCAATATATAACAGAAGTTTTCCCATATCAGTACATACATAGATCTACTTGTTTGTATTTAATAGCTGAACAGTATTCTAAAGAAGAGTTGTACCATATTTAATCAATATCCAAAGGGTAAGCATTTACGTTGTTTTTGATTTTTGCTGTTATAAAGTCTTACATCTACTGTCTCATACACTAAAGAATGCATAGCCAATAAAAGTGAATAATTTCCTGAATTGTCAATTAATTTAAAGAAACTACAAAGTGTTTGAAGTGAGTTTGAGAAGATAAATATTCCTTTCAAAAAATCAAATTGCAGTACTCTAGGACATAAAATATGCCTAAGCTATAGGCATATACAAGCTAAAGTTATGAAGAATGATAAAATGAACACCCATGTACCTAAATAGAATATTACCATTACATTGGAAGATCCCCATGTTCACTGCCCTTCCTCTCTGTCCCCAAGAGGTAATTTTCTTAAATATTTTGTTGCTTAATGACTTAGTTTTAAAACATATTTTTACCAAGTATGTTTGTATCACTAGATTAAATGTCATTAAATAATATATAACATGTGTTTTAATTTTGTATAAGTAGAACCATATTATAGATTAAATGTCATTAAATAATATATAACATGTGTTTTAATTTTGTATAAGTAGAACCATATTATAGTTGAACTGTTCTTTTTTCATTTTTCTGTAACTCAGGACAGTGCTGATGAATTTTCTTTCTATTTTTGTAAATAATTATCTCCTTTAAGATTCATCTACATTATCCATTGTGACTGCAGTTTATTTCTTTTCTTTTCCTTTTTTTTTTTTTTTTTTTTTTTTTTTTTTTTTTTTTTTTNTTTTTTTGAGGCAGAGTCTTGCTCTGTCGCCCAGGCTGGAGTGCACTGGCATAATCTCAGCTCATTGTAGTCTCTGCCTCCTGTGTTCAAGGGATTCTCTTGCTTCAGCCTCCTGAGTAGCTGGGACTACAGGTGTGTGCTACCACACCCAGCTAATTTTTGTATTTTTTACTAGAGATGGGGTTTTACCATGTTGGCCAGGATGATCTCCTGACCAGATGATCTGCCCGCCTCAGCCTCCCAAAGTGTTGGGATTATAGGTGTGAGCCATTGTACCTGGCCAAGTTTATTTATTTTCTCTGATAAAAATATTCTAGTGTTAAGAAGATACTATAAATTGTCCATTCTAATGCTGGTTGGCATATGAGTCATTTCAAGTTTTCTGCTATTTTGAACAACGTTGCCATTAACTTTTTGTACATATCTCTTGATGTATGTGAGCAGGAGCTCCTCTAGGAATGAAAATAGAATATGCTTCACATGCAGCTTTATAAAATAATGACAAATAATCTTATTTCTTCTATCTTATTAAATTTTCTAAAGTAGCTATACCAACTTACATGTTCACTGGCAGAGTTTATATGTTTATATGTTCTATTTGTTACATAAATTTGTTTGATATTATCAGATTTTTAAATTCTTGCCAAATAGTGTAAAAGCCTCCCCTTGTAGTTTCAATTTGCATTTCTTCAATTATTGACACAGACCATCTTGTTACACACTCATCATCCAAGTGGGTTTCCTGATACCTTTTTTTTTATTTTGAGATCTTATGTTAGGCTGATTTATAAGTGCTGCTCTGGACAGTTACACAGTTTATTTACATTGAGGAGTTGTCTGACTTGAATATACTGTACATGGCAATTAGAAGTCATCATGGCAAGAGAAAAACCACAGCTGGCCCCTGCAGCCAGCACAAAAACCAGAGAATGGTAGTGGAAATGTAGATATAACGGTGGGGTTTGTTTCTTATTACAAAAGAAAAAAAATAACTTCTCAGTATTAACTAATGAATGGAGTATTTCACGCTGGGAGAAAAGACATCGGGATACAAAATTACATGTGTTTTGACTCTAGCCCTGTCCCCCTATCCTTCAAGAGCAGAGGTAGGAGACAGTAAAAGCAAACAAGTAATTCTGTAAAAATTACTTAAAACCCTACAGATTTGATTAAAATCAAAACTTCTATTTTGTTTTTTAAAAATTTAATATACCAAAAGGCCTGTTTTAGAGACATGTTATTCCCACCAGAAAATAACCCCAATATCCCCTCTGTCAAGTAACATGCTCAAGTTGACTAGCCAGCTCTTAACCTCTCAGCTAACTGAGTAGCTGGGATTATAGGCACATACCACCATGCCTGGCTTATACTTCTTATAATCTGAGCACTAACCTCTCACTCTGAGGTTTATGTTCTCACTCTCTTTATGGTATCTTTTAATGAACAGAAGTTCTTAATTTTAATTTTGTCAAATTTATCAATATTTCCTTTTAAGATTGGCACTAGTGACTTGTTTAACAAATCCTTCCCTACCCCCATGTTGTAAGGATATTTTCTGCATTACATTTAAAAAATTTTAGGCTTTATAGATTGGCTTTTTTTGGCTCTTCATATTTAAGTCTTTAATACATGTGGGATTGATTCTTGTGTACTGTGGGAGGTATGTGTGGATTTTTTGTATCAATGGTATATTACGTGTACATGTCCCAGCACTATTAATTTAACTGCTCATCTTTTCACCGCTGGTGCCAATTTTGTCATAAATCATGTTTTCATATATGTGTGCATCTGTTTCTGGGATTTCTATTTTATTCTATTGGTCAATTTGTTTATGAATAGGCCAATTCTACACTGTCTTAAATAATATAATCTCTTTTTTTTGAGACAGAGTTTCGCTCTTTTGCCCAGGCTGGTGTGCAATGGCTCGATCTCAGCTCATTGCAACCTCTGCTTTCTGATTTCAAGTGATTCTCCTGTCTCAGTCTCCCAAAAGTAGCTGAAATGACAGGCACCTGCCACCACACATGGATAATTTTATATTTTTAGTAGAGACGAAATTTCACCATGTTGGCCAGGCTCAAACTGCTGACTTCATGATCCGCCCCACTCGGCCTCCCAAAGTGCTGGGATTACAGGCATGAGCCACCATGCCAGGCCAAATAATATAATATTAAACTAAATTTTTGACATCTGACAAGGTAAATTATTATGCTTTGTTATTTTTCTTTAGGAGTATATTGGTAATTTTAAGGCTTTTGTTATTCTATTTAAAGTTCTCACAGGAATTGCACTGCCTCGTAAATTGTTTTGGGGAGAACTGATATCTATAACATACTGAATCTTCCAATCCATGTATATGGTATATTTTCTCATTTATTTAGGTGTTGTTTCATTCATAAATTTGATTAATTATATCCTATAATTCTTGCTTTCCAATATACCAATATTTAACATGCATTTATTACTCTGGAGTCCCACAGAGGATCTTTGAAATCTTAATATTTAATTACATTTCCACCTTGTGCAAAATATTTGAGAAAGGAACTTTGTATCACCTTGGAATAGAATGACAATGTCACAGACTATCTAACAGGGAACACAGAATGAGGAAATGAGATGATCAACTTCTCCTAAATTGTATTCACTGTTTTGTGGGAAGTTTATTTCTGAAAGATCATACATGTATTTTGAAGCCAAATGGAAATTTTGTTGTTGTGCTTTACAAACACTAAGTACTTAAATACTTAATTGAGTGATTCATTTATCATCTGGATTACCCACCATTCATTGTCCTCTGCCTGAAGGGTACAACTGAAAATTGACTGAAAAAGGCTGATATAACTATAAACATTAATATATAACTGAATGCTTTAAAGATTACTTTTCATTTTCAAAGAACTTGCTTATATTAGCGAACTAGTAAAATAATCTAGCATTTTTGAAGAGAAAAGAACAAAAAACACTCAATATTTATGCCAAGTAATAAATAAGTATTTCTGACAGAAATTATGATAAAGATACTGACTCTTCATCGTATTAGTTGTGGTAGGCTCAAGAACTGATACATTGGTAATTACTAAATACTCTGGAAAAATGAAAAGTATTCTCAAATAAGAGGAATAATCTGAAAAAACTACAAATTACCTGTAGGGTACAATTCATCATCCTTATTATGTAGTCAAACTGTTGATGGTCTAATATTGCCCGGTTTTGCTGGACATGCAAACCCAATTCATCAGTAAGACACTGTCTTGCTGCCTTTCCTTTAAGGGCTCTGAGTGCAGCAGGAAGGGTCTGCGGACAAGAGAGATGCAAATGACCAAATGGTACAACTGTGGAAACAGTAACTTTCAAACAATCATCCTGAAAATTCAAACACATCCTGTAATTTATTTCACACAGTTATTAGTAAAATTAAACTCCTAGGGAAGAGGTGATTACTAAGACAAATGATAAAATAGATTTATAGTTATTTTATTTATAAACCAGCAAGAAATATAAGATAATTACACGATAAATTGAAAAACATTTAATTTCACTTTTTTTCTTTCACTTAACAAAACTGGTTACCAAATTGTTGCTTCAGATCATCAGTGAAGGCATAGATATGTAAGACACCTTCTTCCTATAACTAGTCAATTTTCCATGGCAAGAACAGAAAGAAAAATTAAAACAATAAGAAATATAAGTGATTTTATACTTTTAAACTGGTTGGCTGCTTAATCACTATTCAGCTTTAATTTCTGACTGGAAAGTTCTATAATCTCTTCTTATTTAAATATCATAAAAAGGAAAGAAAAAGGACTCGGAGTTGAAAAAATAGGTATCTCTAGGTGTATGCATTAAAACTCTTTTCACTTTACTATAACAACATCCATAAAGATGTCTCCTTCAGTCCACCATGTAGGACCTAATTTACTTCACACACAATAATAATAAGCTTAAAAACCTAAAAAATCAGAACAAAGTAGAAAATAAGAAGGAAGTAGGAGGGCATAGTATCACTACAGGCAGGTGTAAGAAATAGGATGTGAAAGTTGAAAGCAAGAGAAGTGAAGGACTCCAACTACAAGAAAAAACAGAAACTAAAAAGCACAAAATATAAAGAGTGCTGGGTCAGTTAGCGTAAATGCAAACATTCTTACATACTTTACCGGTCCCCGAAAATAGATATTCAGAACAATGACAATGAATCAGTAAGAAAAGGTTATACTATATCCAGCATGTTTTCATTGAAGAAGGCAAGAAAACATGCTCTAAGGAGGCACATTTAAGTTGAATACCATAGTTCCTATAATCCATTACATATTCTAAAGAGTCTTTGCAATAAATAAAATTATATTTAAAATGTTAAGTTTTGGTCAAGTGTGTTGGCTCATACCTATTATCTCAGCATTTTGGGAGGCTGAAGCAGCTGGATCACTTGAGGCCAAGAGTTTGAGACCAGTCTGGCCAACATGGCGAAACCCAGCTCTACTAAAAATACAAAAATGAGGTGAGCATGCTGGAGCGGGCCTGTAGTCCCAGCTACTCGGGAGGCTGAGGCAGGAGAATCACTTGAACCTGGGAGGTGGAGTTAGCCAAAATCATGCCACTACCCTCCAGCCTAGGAGACAGAGCGAGACTCTGTCTCCAAAAATAAAAAATAAAATAAATAAAATGTTAAGTTTCTAAGTAATATGCCAAAATAGGGTTTTATGAACAATGTTTCAAAGTCAGAGAGAAAAAATTACTACAAATATTTTTCTGGTAGTCAAGCTTGGCCTAACAGCTTTAAATCTTACACACTATTCATTTAAAATGATCCAAACAACGAGAGGATACTTTATTAGGAAAAGGGACAGAATTAAAGAAGAGATCAGCTGGTAAACTCGGCAAGTAAATCTGAAAGGGAAATGGTAAATGCTTACTTGGGAAAGATGGTATTTTATTACCTTTTCAGTCTCCAAAATTTTATTTTCAAATATGAATGAGATGCAGTTTCTGACAACTTCTAGTCTCTGTGCACTGTTGAAAACTGTCGTCACCTTGTCCATTATCGAAACTAGTAAAAGAATATAAAGAAAGCACAAATAAATTAAACTCCTTTGGTAATTACAAAAGCAAAGAGACTATCACCTTGTCCATTATCAAAACTAGTAAAAGAATATAAAGAAAGCACAAATAAATTAAACTCCTTTGGTAATTACAAAAGCAAAGAGACTATCACCTTGTCCATTATCAAAACTAGTAAAAGAATATAAAGAAAGCACAAATAAATTAAACTCCTTTGGTAATTACAAAAGCAAAAAGACTATTACTTTAAGATTGCAGGGTGGGCGTGGAGGCTCAGGCCGGTAATCCCAGCACTTTGGGAGGCTGAGGTGGGATGATCCCTTGAGCCCAGTGGTTTGAGATAAGCCTTGGCCACATATCAAGACCCTTCTCTACAAAAAATACAAAATTAGCCAGTATGGTGGCTTGCACTGTAATCCCAGGGACTTGGGAGGCTGAGGTGGGAGGATCACTTGAGCCCAGGAGTCTAAGGTTGCAATGAGCTAGTATAGTACTACTGAACTACAGCTCAGTGACAGAGTGAGACTGCATTTCTTATTAGAAAACAAACAAATAGCCGGGCATGGTGGCGCATGCCTGTAGTCCCAGCTATTCGGGAGGCTGAGGCTGGAGGATCTCCTGAGTCCAGGAGTTCTGGGCTGTAGGGCGCTATGCCGATCGGGTGTCCGCACTAAGTTCGGCATCAATATGGTGACCTCCTGGGAGTGGGGGACCACCAGGTTGCCTAAGGAAGGGTGAACTGACCCAGGTCAGAAACGGAGCAGGTGGAAACTCCCGTGCTGATCGGTAGTGGGATCGCGCCTGTGAATAGCCACTGACTCCAGCCTGGGCAACATAGCGAGACCCTGTCTCTTAAAAAACAAACAAACAACCAAAAAGAAAACAAACAAATAAAAACTGTTTATATGACCTACACTTTATTTTTTCCCTTATTACAGAGCATTGAAGGTATTCCATATCATTATTTTTATTACATGTTGAAGTGTCAGGCTAGTTAATTAATAATTTCGCAGGATAGATTCTAATGAGACACTTAACTCTTTTGCAAATTAATTCACACTGCAAAGCAAAATTATATTTAAAAAGTAAACATCTATTTTAAACTTTGTTTATAACTAGTAATATGTTAATATTTCTAAGATATTACCAAAGAAAAACTACATTCCACAAATTATTAGATATTACAAATTTGAATAGAGGGAACTTGAAGGAAAGAAGTAGTGTAAAAAAAGATAAATGATCATGATCAATTATCTGCTATACTGTCTTAGGAAAGTCACTTTTTAGTCATGCAAACTTATCACCTTTCACCTTTTACCATAGGGTTAGAAAATTCTAGTGTATTACTGAGACTACTAAGCTAGTTACCTAAATAAATTTAACTTATTAACATTAGAAGGATATAAATGAAAGTATTTATACAAAATTTATACTTTCACAAAGAACTATACTATGCCATTTGTTTAAATGGTAGTAACAATAATTCTTTTTTTATATAAATTTAAGGAGTACAAGTACAGTCTTGTTACATGGACAACATGCACAGCTGGTAAAGTTTGGGCTTTTAGTGTATCCATCACCCAGAATAGTGTATATTGTAGCCATTAAGTAATTTCTCATCCCTCACCCCTTTCCCACCCTCCTAGCCTTCTAAGTTTCCAATATCTTATTATTCCACACTTGATGTCCATGTGTACACATTATTTAGCTCCCATTTATAAGTGAGAACAGTATCAATAATTCTCAAGCCAAAAAGACTACTTGTATTTTATGGCCACTCTTTGGAATCTAAAGGCACAATCCCTTCACCTTCTTCCATACCTAAGAAGAAAGACTATCATATTTTACTCGTTAGTATTCCTTTGATCTCATCAATATGAAACTTGTATTCTTCAAATAATGTTCTAAGCTTTTTTTTTTTTTTTTGAGACAGAGTTTCACTCTTGTTGCCCAGGCTCATGTACAATGGCGCGATCTCAGCTCACTGCAACTTCCGCCTTCCAGGTTCAAGCGATTCTCCTGCCTCAGCTTCCTGAGTAGCTGGGACTACAGGCATGTGCCACCATGCCTGGCTAATTTTGTATTTTTAGTAGAGATGGGATTTCTTCATGTTAGTCAGGCTGGTCTTGAACTCTCGACCTCAGGTGATCTGCCCACTGTGGCTTCCCAAAGTTCTGGGATTACAGGCGTGAGACACCACACTCAGCCTTAAACTTTTTTTTTTTTTTTTTTTAAATCAAAATGACTATAGGTTCATAATAAGCAGCAAAAGTAATACAAAGAAGATCCCTGTACTCATCACCCAGCTTCCTCCTATGGTGACATCTTTCATAACTATGTTTTATCAGAATAAGGAAAACACCTGGCACAATACAACGAACTAGACTATAGACCTTACTTGAATTTTACCAGTTTTCTTCAAATCATTTTTAATCATGTAACATTAATTTTCTGGTTAAACTGATTATTTCACACAACTTTTCTCTTTGAAATGCTCATTCATAATTGTGGGCTCTGGTGCTTCCCACATAGGTTGGTGGCATAAACTGAGTATCTATATTAGAACAGAAAACTTACAATCTCCAATTAATATCACATACTTCATTGAAAGAGCAACATCTTTAATTTATGTTTATAATCTTTTAATTCTAAAATATCTTTAGTAGTATTTTAAATTTTCTTTAGGCTGAGTTATTAGAAAACATATTTTCTTCTTCTTTTTTTTTGAGGTGGAGTCTTGCTCTGTCACTGAGGCTGGAGTGCAGTGGTGCAATCTTGTCTCACTGCAACCTCTGCCTCCCAGGTTCAAGTGATTTTCCTCCTGGAGAATCACGTAACCTCCCAAGTAGCTGGGACCACAGGCGCATGTCACCATGCCTGGCTAATTTTTTGTATTTTTAGTTAGAGATGGAGTGTCACCATGTTGGCAGGTTTTGAACCAGGCTGGTGTTGAACTCCTGACCTCAAGTGATCCACCCACATCAGCTTCCCAAAGTGTGGGGATTACAGGCATGAGCTGCTGTGCCCAGCCAGAAAACATTTTCTTATAATAAACATGTTTACTATCTGGAAATTTTCCCTTTGGAGAATCCAACCTAATTCACATTTCATAATGCGAAGTGATCAGTCACCAGATGCTATACACTTGTACATATACATGCATCTAATTAACCAACTTCAAAATATATCAAGAAAAATAGGAAAAACTGAGAAATGGGCAATTCTACTACTATAATGGGAGACTTTAATATATCTTCTTCAATAGCTGGAAAAAAGAGAGAAAAGTCAGTAAAGAAAGACAACTCACAAAATGGGGAAAAATTTGCAAATAATATATCTGGTAGAGGACTTATATATAGAGTATGCTTACAACTCAATTCTTTTTTTTTTCCCATTTATTTATTTTATTGCATTTTAGGTTTTGGGGTACATGTGAAGAACATGCAAAATTGTTGCATAGGTACACGTGGCAGTGTGATTTGCTGCCTTCCTCCCC